AAGATTATGAATTTGTGAAAAGAGGTAAAAGAGGTGGAAGAGGAGGTGGAAGAGGAGGTGGCAGAGGAGGTGGCAGAGGAGAAGAAAGATACCAAAACAATTCACAATATTCGCAACAATATTCACAACAATACTCACAACAGCAATATTCACGGCAATACTCTCAGCAATACTCACAACAATATTCACAACAGCAACATTCACGGCAACAATATCAACAACATTCGCCTCGTCATTCGTATCCTTATCAGTATTCACAACAACATCAACAAAATCCTCGCCGTCCTAATTATCCACATCACCAATATTCACGGCAGCAGCAGCATCATTATCATCAACAATCTTCTCAGTATCCTTATCCTCAACAGCAATATCCGTGGAAGTAAATACAGTTAGACCAGATAATTGATGGTTTGTCAAGATACTCGAGAATATTATAAAGCTTATATGAAATCATGTAAAGCTTATATGAAATTATGTCTCGAGATACCCGTTCTCGTGAAAAAAATTTCATTTCATTGAGAAGTAGCAAGTGCAAAGAAAAAATAAACCATCTGCTTATTAAATACTAGCAAATAAAGATTTATATTTATATTTGACCCAAACGTTATCGTTATGATTTATGAATATAAGTGACGTAAGAAAACGATATATTTAATCTAGCCATATAATGTTTATTCCGTTCATCACCACATTCCAGATGCTGCTTGATCCAACCAGTGGATCGGACGGACATTATGGGTTTAGAATTCATTAGCAATTCACACAATTTGATGATTTATTTTCTATTTTGAAGATTTTATGCATTCAACCAACTTTTCTTCGACTGCGCGTATATTAGTAGGTGACGTGATATGTGAAGTCATCAAATACACAACATTCCCAAGTGGTCTTGCATAGATTCCAAAATTCTTTGATGTGAATGACGAATAAAGTTCCTTTACAATAGCTTGTGAAGCATTTGAAGCGTATCCTATTTGTGTTAAAAATTTCGTTTTAGTGAGAATGAATAAAATCGAATATAGAATAATGCATTAGAATAATAATTGCCTCCTCCTGCAGAATCTTCCATGGTTACAACCAATAAAGTACCCAGCGTCATAACTCCTTTAACTTTAGGTAGATGCGAAAGATGATGAACGACCTGACAAAACAAAAAAAATAAATTCATGAAAAATTTAGGTTTGTTTCTTTCAAATAAAACTCAAATCCCACCTCTTTATCCCAAAAACTCCAAACGATTGGTTCTTTATTGCTGCCGTCGCTTGTGTTCTCGTTATAAGCCCATTGTGATTTCGCGGTGTTCCAGTGTAAACTATTCTTATTAAATTCCTCATACTCGTCAAGGGATGCTCTTGCAACGGAACATCCTATCGGATGAGCTGTATACGAGTGGCCATGAAGTAACGCGTCCGTTTTCTCTGAGCCAATAAAGTTCTCGAAAACTGATTCGGTGGTAAGTGTTGTTGCTAATGGTATTAGTCCACCAGTAAGAAGCTTAGCGTATGTTGCGATATCTGGTTTCTTTTAATATAAATTAAAAATTCCAGTCAAGTTTTAATAAAAATACCAACAAACTCGCAATAATTAATAATAACGCTGATTTACCTTTCCCAGTAAGTCAGCACCGCTTCTGCATCCTAATCTCCATAACCCAGTGAAAACTTCATCGAAAATAACAGGAATCTTATTCTTTCTGACTTCGTCAATTAAAACACGTTGAAATAGTGGATCAACTAGTTTCATTCCACCAGCTCCCATTAGGATTGGCTCCAAAATGAGAGCACCAAATTGATATTTATTTGAATGAATGCATGAAGAAAGTATTCTCCCTATATGATCTTCATATATCTTCACAAGATCAGATGCTATTGGTTGGTCTTGATTAAATATCAAGTCGAATGAAGGAACGGAATATGTCATATTTGTATGATCTGGATGAATAGATTTAGGAATATCTACCAAATACATTCCATTCTTTAAATAAACTGTTGGTGCTTCAAACCAATATCCTCTTGGCTTATACCTAAATATTATGAAAAAGATTAGTATTAATGATTGTTTGAATGACCTTTATTATTTGTCCAAAATTAAGATGTGATTTATTTACCATTTAACTTTTTCATTATAAACATTCGGTCCACACGCATCCATAGCTCCAATTGTATCTCCGTGATAACTTCCTTCAATTCCAAATATTAAAAATTCTTTTTCTGTTGCTTGTTTGATGGCATCCTCATCTTTTATATTGTTTCTTTTAAGATTGGTTTTCAATGCCATTTTCAATGCAACTTCGATTGCAGTACTTCCATTATCACTGTAGAAAACACGTGTTGCCCAACCTTTTCCAACCCCTTCCAATAATTTTTCTGCTAAATCTAATGCAGGTTCATGAATACATTCTGGAAATATAACATGACCGTAACGTCCAGCTGCATATGACGCTGCTAAGGATAACTTTGATGAACCATGTCCTAAACCTATTATTATGTTAAGATTAATAATCAGCATATCACTATAATTAACGAGTCAAATCTTTCACCTTGAGTCCACCAACTTGCACATGCATCAAACATTTCTTTCATTTGTACTTGTCCCGCACCCTCACTATCATTATTCCTATTGAACGTGATCATGAAATCATCATGAGCCGAATCAATTATTGTAACATTCTTTACTCGTTGATGTTGTGTAAATGGCCACCAAATTTTTTTCATCGTCTTTTTTTCCATACTCTCGAGTCGATCAAATCGAAGATGATGCCATTCATTTAATTGTTTTAAAATGGCTTGAAAATCTTGTGACGTGCTAGAGAAATAGTCTCGTAGATTTTCGTGATCCTTTTCTGCTGCGCTATTTTTTGGTGGTGGTGGTGAGATTGAATGTATGCAAGTGTCATATTTTCTGAAGTATTCTTTTAAGTACTGAAAATTATTGTATTCAGTGTCATGGAATAAAAGTATCGCGGGAATATCATAACCACGCAAATGAAGAGCCTCAAAAGATGATATTGTAGTGGAAATTCCGCCTAATTTACTATCTCCTATCAAAATAGTAGGCAAACGAAGTGGCCGATAAAATTCACACTGCAAAGTCCCTAATTTAATAATAATTCTGATCAGCTCTGAGCAGTTGGTTAGAAAAGAAACTTTATTACTTACCCGACATAATCGGACTGTTGACGCCTAAATTTGTAAAATAAAAATTCTCAATTCATAATTACCCGTTTGAAGAAAAAACAAAGGTTCATTCATACGCACCACCAGCAGTTTCCAGAATCAGTTTTCCTTCATCATTCGATCCCAATTGAATTTGACACTCAGCAATATAAGATTTTACCCGCGACAAGACATCTTTATCATTTGGAGGCTCAAATACATTATTAAAAATGGATTAATCAATCAAATAATTCGCCCACCTAACTATCTATAATTCTAAAAATGTACCTTATCGGTTGCAATATGAGGACTAACGGGCTTCTCATAAGAATACAGTGTTCTCGTATTTAATATTTTACTATTGACAAAACTATCCACAAATCTCGCGTCACTATCGACCGGATAGCCAGTTTGAACAGGCTTCAGATAAAATAGTTTTGAAACTTTTTTATGGGTAGCAGCTGCTCGCAATAGACCAGCCGAAAATAGAGTTTTCCCGAGATTGGTATTTGCAGCGAATGTTTGATAAATTTGAAATGATCGAGTTGGAAAGTAAACAGACATGCTAGTAAAATTGAATGATCGTCAGAAAATGATGTGATTCAAGACTCGTTACGGAAGCTTAGTACTACATAATTTCAGCCAGAATTGGATAATTGAGATCTTTTCTTGATACTCGTGTCTTTTTCTTCACAATTTACTCGTTAAAAAATTTCATTTTTATCGCTATATCGCTTTCCACATTCCACGTTCCAATAAATACCAACAACACACACATACGAATTTGCGCAACTGTCTACCCTAAATAAATATCCTCTCCAGGAAAAAGATGCGTGGAACAAAACGACAGCGAGAACCAGAAAATCAAGAGGTAGAAGGTGCGCAAGTTAATGATTACTACGCAAACGGGATAAATAGCAGTGCTGATGGTGGTTATGGTGGTGAGGAGAATATTTTGAGGAAGGATAATAAGGGAAAGGGAAAAGGTAAGGCAGTGATAAAGGTTGATGTTAATCTGAAGCATATCGTGCGCAGTAGTAACGCAAAAAGACAAAGATTCGAGGCTGAAGAAGAAATCTCCAGAGCATTGCTAACATACGATGATTCCTCGTCGAGCTCCTCATCTTCCGAATCTAACGTGGCCACGCCTGTATCATATTCTCCTCCTTATTATGAGCAATTCAACGTCGAATCGAATACATTTCATTTTCCGTACAATCGATCATCACAACAAACGAATGTTCATCATCCACAACAAAATAACAACAATAATAACAACGACAATAACAACAACAACAACAACAACAACAGCATTTTTTATCATAATACTCATCACCATCATCATCATCATCATCCTCATCATCATCATCATCATCATCATCACT